GATACCTTGTCTGAGCCTGGGGCTGCCTGTGCTATGGATCTCAAGACTGCTCCCAGGGATAGTTGTCACACAGCCTAGGGAGTTAACCATATCAGACTCCCTCAGTTGGTTGCTGAGAGCCACCAGGAAGAAAGATGGCAGACAAGGCGCTCCCTCTGGATGCTCCTAATTGAACAGTTAGTACCTGCTGCTCCTTCAGCAGTCATTGCTGATGCGCACAGATCCAGCACCCCCCACCCCCGCCCCCGGAACCCTGAGTGATACCACCATTCCCTCTTCTGTCAACAGCCCAGAAGAAACTCATTGAGACACACAAAGACATGTTAGTTGAAAGGAGAGAGGGAGAGAACAAGAGATGGCAAAGACCTATGTATGTGAACATGAACAAGATACATTACTTACATGAATGAAAGCATTATCGTGAAACATTACATATAATTAATGTATGCTAATGAACACATTATAAATATTCCAGCAGTCAAGCAGTAAAAGCTGCAGTCCTAAATTCTTTTCAGGTTTATCATAAAGTGCCTCAAATCATGGGAGGACACTAGACAGAGACAACAGAATTTATGCAGATATAATCATAGGGACTTAAGAGGAAGAAGAGGTGATGAGGGGCAGGCAGAGGCAGTCAGACTGACCTTGAGAAGGGGCCAGGAAGGCACAAGAGCTTCAGAGAGCAGCCTTCATCCCTAGACTACTTTCCAGAACAAATGAAAAGGTCTGTTTCTTTCAAATAACCATTTATGGACAGGATCTTTCATATCATGTGATTTGGCTCAGCACAATGTACAGGGCAGGGAGCATGGAGAAGGGTACTGTAGAGAACCTGTCAAGTGGCAGCACACTGCTTACTTCTTACTTAACTCTGTCTGAGAGCTGCACACAAACTATGGGACCAGGCCTACAGAAGCGGGCTCGTGAAAACTAACCACAGTATCTTTGGTTCTTCTCTCTTGTCTCAGACTGGTCCATCTGGGGGGCAGGGTGTTAGGTCTCAAAGAAATACAGGACAAAAGGTTAACTGAGGTGCCTATTAGAGGAGAGCTAGGAAAAAGATACCATAATTGAGGGAGAAATCTGACACTAGGGAAATGTCCAGAGACTTACAATCTGAGCAATAGTAGAGAGGCTTCCTTAAACGCCCTTTCATGATAATGAGATTGACAACTACCTTATATGCCATCCTAGAACCCTCATCCAGTAGCTGATGGAAACAGAAGCAGACACTCACAGCTAAACACTGAGCTGAACTCCTGGAATCCAGTTGCAGAGAGGGAGAAGTGATGAACACATGGGTCAAACTTAGACTGTAGAAACTCACAGAGACAGCTGACTTGAATAAGGAGGAGCTAATGGACCCCAGACTGATAACTTGGAAACCAGCATTGGAATGACTCAGATGCCCTGAACATGATGGGTCTCAGTTAGAAGGCCTGGGCAGTCCACTCTGAGAGTGGAACCAGGATGTATCCCTGGTGCACAAAAGGACTTTGGGTGCACATTCCCCATGGAGGGATACTCCCTTAGCCTGCAGACACAAGGTAGGGCATAGGCCCTACCCCAAATGTCTTGACAGATTTTGTTTTTGGTTGTGAGCCTAGCCTTTAACGGCTGAGCCATCTCTCCAGCCCTGTCTTGACAGATTTTGATGATCCCTCCTGGAAGGCCTCACCCTCTCTGGGAAGTGGATGGGCATGGGAGGATGGGAGGGAGAGGGAACTGGGATCCATATGTAAAATAAGAAAAAAAAAATAAAAATTTAAAAAAATTACCAAAGCAGATGATGCTCAGCTCCTCCAGCACTACTCAGTACCTGTCTCCTCCCAGCACTTTTCACCCCATCCCCTACCCTGAACCTCTCCAGGCCAGGGCCTGGGCCTCTTTCCCCCTAGCCTGGCTGGCTCACTTCTGCATCCCTTTTGGTCCATTTCCCCACCTCTCACTCCTCCGCCTCTCTCTCCTCCTATGGCCTGGTTCAGTCTGCTGGCCATGTTGAGTCTGGACCATTTCAGACCCCTCTGGTTGTATTCTTCCACATATCTACAATAAACCTCCTATGTCCTCATTTTTCATTCAGGGAATAACTGTACTTAAGCAGAACTTACTCTTGACTTTATTTGTTCCTCTGTTGGTGAACCCTTTCGGCTTCTGTAACCAGCCTCATAGAATTGAGGATATTCCAAAGAGACACATCTTTCAATCTTTCAGACTAATGAAATGATGGACTCCAAGAACAGGAAATTTCCCTAAGAGTCGTACATTTGGAGAATGAAAATGTGCCAGCCAGAGGGAGATTTCTGGATTGTCAGACTACCTTTCAGTATTAGGCTGAAGTCCACACCATGATAGGTCAATGGTGGGTGGGACCAATGTTGACAGAGACTGCCAGGTGTTGACACATTAGAGAAGGCTTCAACTGAAGAACAGTGTTGACACATTAGAAGAGACCTCAATTGAAGAATAGCATTGGCACATTAGAGGAGGTCTCAATTGAAGAACAGTGTTGACACATAAGAGGAGACCTCAATTGAAGAATAGCACTGACACATTAGAGGAAGCCTCAATTGAAGAAGAGCATTGACACATTAGAGGAGACCTCAATTGAAGAATAGCATTGACACATTAGAGGAGGCCTCAATTGAAGAATCACTGCCACCACACAGTGGGCATGTCTGTGTACCATTTCCTTGCTAAATGACGTTGGAGGGCCTAGTCCGCTGTGGGTAGTACTATCTCTAGGCAGCTTTCCTGTCTTTAAAACCCAGCACTTGGGAGGCAGAGGCAGGCAGATCTCTGTGAGTTTGAGGCCACTCTGACCTACAGAGCTAGTTACAGGACAGGCTCCAAAGCAATACAGAGAAACCCTGTCTCGTAAAACAAAAAACAAACAAACAAACAACCCACCCAGAGAACACAATTTTTTTCTTTGTGTGCTTATGGTATGTGCATACATTCCTGCACATTCTGGGTGCAGATGCCAGAGGGCAACCTCATTCTCTATCACTCTCCATCTTATTCTCTTGATACGGAGTCTCACTGAACCCAGAGTAAGGCTGGCAGACAGGAACCCACAGTCATCCTCTGTGTCTGTCCCTCTCTGCTGAGATTACCAGTGTTTTATGGCTAAATTCAGCTTTCTTTTGTGGGTGCTGGAAACTCAAACTCAGGTCCTCACATGTGTACAGCAAGCACTCTTACTCACTGTGCTATCTCCCCAGGCAAGGTGATTTTCACACATATTTACACTCAGGGCCAAGGTGAACTGAGTATAATATTAAAATATGACTAATTGATATCACATTTGCTAAACCACGTAAGAGTTATCACCTGCTCCTGTGTTTATGTGTGCCAGGGCTAAGGACATAGCTGACACATTAGGCCAACGGCAGGATCTTCTTTACACAGCAAGTTTCCATGAAGACTGTTATGTACCTTAGCATGATGCCTACTAATCGCTAAGTAGCTAATGCCTACTTTTCGCTACAGCTCTGGGTCGCTGTTTCAACCTTGGTTCACCAACTCCTTGATCTCACAAAAATTTGTAAATATTAAGTTCTTACATCCACCTACATGATCTGTGATCATTTCTATGTTCCTACTTTACAAAGTTGTCAAGCAAAAAATGTTTGAAAATTACTATGAAAGGCATAACTTCTGTGCAGTGAGAGCTTTACTGCAATACCTGACTGTTCATGCCCCTTCCTAGGTGTCTACTCTGGCAATTTACCTAAACATATTGCTTTCTTAGTGCTTTAGTCAGGGTTCTCTACAGAAACAGAACCAGGGGGTGATTATTAGTCTAGCTCTTGATCTCAAGGGAATAAGGCGAAGAGTGATATAACAGGACGACATCCTCCTCTGGTCTCCAAAGGTGCACAGGCACATCTGCATGCATCTATGCACCCGTCACACCTCCAATGCTTACACACACCACATATGCACAGATAATAAACAAGAAAATGATCTTTTTGATGAACAAATCAGATATGTTATGCAGATAGATTTATTCCTGCAATCCATTACATTGGATGTGACTAAAGCCTTAGTCTGGTAATCTCTGGCCAGAGCACATATCAGTGGGATGTATCTTTTGGTAGTGAGGGGAAATTATGATAAAAAGCTATAACATAAATGTGATAACATTTATATAGAAAAAGAACGTTAGTAGGATTCCATTACATAAGGAAATTTCATTAGTATTTTGACAATAATGACTCTAACATCAAAGGAAAATTTTGAAAAACTGTGAAGTTGATCTTTTTACGATTACTTTGCAGATATATTGTCCATATATGAAAAAGATAATATGTCAATGTATACACTATTGAAAACAGTTAAATTATAAAATATGTACACAAATCTTACTTGAAGAAAATATTTAAAGTGAAAAATAATTAAATTCACTTTAAAGTCATTTGTTCTGAATTTATATACATATATGACCTATGACAAGAGCCTAGTAGGAAAACCCAAGTATTAGTAATCTTTCTTGTTTGTGAGCACCAAGCTTGCATGTGTGCAAGCCAGAGGATAACATCAGGTATTCTCTCCTACCACTCTCTGCCTTATTTGCTTGAGAAATGGTCTTGCACTAATCTTAGAGCTTGTTTTTCATCTATTCCCAGTGCTGGGGAAACGGGTATGTTTAGCTTTTTAATGAGACTTGTTGGCCAGCAAGCCCCAGTACTCTTTCTGCATAATTCCCTATTCCCAGTGCTGGGGAAACGGGTATGTTTAGCTTTTTAATGAGTACTGGAGATCTGACCTAGGTCCTGATGCTCATCCATTGAGTCATTTTCCCAGCCCAAATTAAAATTTTTTTTACAGATCCATTACACAAAATTATTTTAAAACTATATAAAAATTAAGACTGCTGACAAATTAGAAAGACATTTCAATTCAGAATTTTAAATTAAAAGCAAAGTTATTAACTGAATTTACCAATACTGAAACTAAAAATTAAGTACATGCAACTGTTTAAGTAAACCTTAATGATTTCACTGAAACATTTATTTTTAAGAATAAAATTAGAAGCACACAGTTTGGATCTACCTAAGAATGTGCCACTGACAAACATTTATATACATTAGAACACCTCCTCTGAATTGTGCAATTTCTAAAGCATTCCATAAATTATTTTATGCCAGGCTCTTCACATTAGTTGTGTTAACAGAATCCTACTACATCATCCTTTGACACATGCAACAAATGACAATTTTACTTATATTTACAAGGTTTTGACTGTATATATGCTGGTCAAGTGAAGACTTATAATTTCTTCTAATCAAGGTTCTTGATATTGTGTGTTCTTTTTTGTATGTAGTGTGCATGCATGTGAAGATGAGTGTTCATATGTATGTGGCTGCACTTTACACTTGCATGTATAGGCCAGAGGTTGATGTTAATGTTGGATGTCTTCCTTAACCATTCTCTACTTTAATTTTTGAAAGATCTCTCACTGAACTTGAGTAGACTAGCTAATGAGCAAGCTCTGAGATCTGTTGTCTCTGTCTCCCCAGCACTGGGATTATTTAGAGGCATGTGTCACCATGCCTGTAATGTATATGGATGCAGAGGATTTAAACTCAGGATCTCATGCTTTTGTGTCAGGCACTATACAGATTGACCCATCTCCCCATCCATTTTAGTGTTTTTTTTTTTTTTTTAAGAACTGAAGAGAGACAAGTAGAGATAATCCCGCATGCTTTACATTGATACAGGTTAATTCATTATGCCATCATGTTTGCTACAAAGAGCTTATAATAATGGAGCTTTCCTTTATTTTATATTTAGAGATACTCTCCAGTGTGTCTCCATTAGTGTTCTTTTGAAGGGAACCAGAACATGTTAAGGCTTATTCACAATGGTTACATATTTTGCTGTTGTTGTTGATTTTGTTTTTAGTTAATAAGATTAAAATGTATTCAAAGAGGAGGTCTTCCAATGTATTTACACACAGTGCATTCTTTCATGGTATCGAAGAGAACCATGAGCACTGTAGGATTTCCCACATTGTTTACATACATAGGGTTTTTCTCCAGTGTGAATTCTTTCATGGCAACGAAGGGAACTGTGATCAGTGAAGGCTTTCCCACAGAACTTACATACATATGGTTTCTCTCCCCTGTGGATTCGTTCATGGCGTTGAAGAGAACTGTGAAAAGTGAAGGCTGTCCCACATAACTTACATACATAGGGTTTCTCTGCACTGTGAATATTTTCATGGCAACGAAGAGAACTGTGATACATAAAGGCTTTCCCACACTGTTTACATACATAGGGTTTCTCTCCGGTGTGAGTCCTTTCATGGCAATGAAGGGAACTATGAAATGTGAAGGCTTTTCCACACACCCTACACAAACAAGGTTTCAATCCACTGTGAATTCGTTCATGTTTTTTCAATGCACTGCTCAACACAAAGGCTTTCCCACATTGCTTACACCCATAGGATTTCTCTCCAGTGTGAATCTGTTCATGGTATCTAAGAGCATTGTGATGCATGAAGTTTTTTCCACATTGCTTGCATGCATAGGGCTTCTCTCCACTATGAATCCTTTCATGGCATTTAAGAGAACCTTGACGACTGAATGCTTTCCCACACAGCTTACATACATAAGGTTTCTCTCCACTATGAATCCTTTCATGACACTGAAGAGAACTGCAATCAATGAAAGCTTTCCCACATACCTTACATTCATACGGTTTCACTCCAGTATGAATTCGCTCATGTCTTCGCAAGGCACTAGAACAAGAGAATGCTTTTCCACATTGCTTGTATATATAGGGTTTTTCTAAATTGTGAATCTTTTCATGGCATTGAAGAGAACTGTGGTCGCTGAAGGCTATTCCACATTGATTACATATGTATTTTATTCCATTGTGAGTTTGTTCATGACTTTCAACCTTACTCAAAGAAGGAAAGACTTTCAGAAATTGCTTGCATTTATAGGGTTTCTCTCCACTATGGGTCCGTTCATGGCGGCGAAGGCCACTGGAATAAGTGAAGGTTTTTCCACATTGCTTACATGTATAAAGCTGTTCTCCAGTATGTGTCCTTTCATGTGTTAAGAAAGAACTGGAAGAATGAAAGGCTTTACCACATATTTTACACATATATGGTCCATGTCCATTATGTGTTAAGTGCTGCTGAATACCAGCAAGAGTCAAAAAGTCTTTCCCACTCTGCTTTAAAACACAAGGTTTTTCTGTAGCATGCATTCTTTCAGGGACCTGAATATAACTGTGTCTACTAAAACCTTCCTTAGTTTGCTTACATTCATAAGTTTTCTCTTCCATTTGAGTCGTTACATGTTCCAGAAAGCACTGGGAAGAACTAAACACTTTCCCACATTCCTTATTTGTGCCTGTTTTTTCTGCATATTCTTGATTCTCACATAGTTTGTATCCAGTCTGAACTGCAATGGGAAGAATTTTCCTTAAATACTCATAGTCATCTTCAAGGGTTTGGTCTTCTTGCTTTTTTGCTGTAATGTAGATCCAGAAAAATCACTTTGAGTTAATACAACTCTATAGAACATTATTAGGTTCTAAGTACGTTTCTGGTACAACATGATCATGACTGGTTTATTATCAAAATTTCTGTTTCTGTACACATCATGGAGCTGTATTGACCAGCAAAAATACTGTTTTCTCATGGACTAAGAAAGGCAATGATCTCACCCTTACCTATGGCAGCCAGGTTCCTGAAGGTTTCTTGCATCACATCTCTGTGCAGCCTCTTTTGGGAAAAATTCAGTAGAGCCCACTCCTCTGGGGTGAAGTTCACAGCCACATCCTCGAAGGATACAGACTCCTGAAAAAATGACACATTATTTTCAGGAGGAAGGGTGAGATAAATTAGGGATTTCTACTCAGTGCATATGATGTTGTGTTACAGGATGTTGTGCTGCCCAATGTTAAATCCATGTAATACTCATCAGTGTTCTGGTCAGTGCTCTCACTCTTTAGCAATATAATTCCAATGCTAGGCTGGAATTATATTATATAGCAAAAGCAAATGCTTGAGTTCTTGGTCAGGTAATGAGGCACTGTCTTAGGAAAAAAAAATCCCACTAGCCAGTATCTATGGAGTGAACAGCAGCTATGTGGAGACTATTCTTAGAACATGCCTTGGAAAATTCTTGACTGTCAAGCATGAAGGCCTGAGTTTGAACCCCCATAATTCTACATAAAGCTGCTGGGCATGGTGGAACACAACACTGGAACACTGGCAATTACAGGTGGATCCCTGATGTATACTGGTTAGCCAATCTAGTACAACTGGTAAGCTTCAGGCAAAAAAAAAAAAAAAAAAAAAAAAAAAAAAAGGCCCTTTCTCAAAAGGTGGACAGCATTCCCAAGTAATGACCCAAGATTGTTCTCTAACCTGCACATGCATGTGTCAATACATGTTTGTTACTTGTGCAAACATCTGTAAGCATTTACGTTCATTAAAAAGATACATTTTTCTTCCCCTGGGGTCTGTGGCCTGGTATTTGGAAGGACCTCACTAACTACCTGTGGAGAGGGTCTCAGTATTCTAGTTTATGACACCCAAATGCTACTTTCCCTTTAAATGTCTGCAAGCTTCTGACATGCTTATCAGAAAGATCCTACTGATCAGAATGAAAATAGGCTCTGAAGGATTAGTTCCCAACGAACTGGTCTGACATATAATATATAATAAAGACATCATTTCCCAATTTCTTCCTTAGGAAGCTGTACATCTTCTTTGGCTGAACAGAGACAACTTGGGAAACCTTGTGCTTGATATCTGATAGGCAATCTTAAATACTCTGAAAGACCTATGAAGGATAATCTATTATGATAATTAAGAGAAGATTTTAGTTTTTCCTCAAAAATGCAAAGGAAGCAGAAATGAGGGGAATGGCATTATTAGAAGGGGTTTCCTGTCAGATGTATTTAAGAAATTTTGCTCAACCTGGTTTCTTGTAGTACACAGGACTACCAGGCGAGGAGTGGCACCAACCACAGTAAGATGAGTCCTCCCTTATCAATCAAGAAAATGTACCACAGGCTTGCCTACAGGCCAATATGATGGAGACATTGTCTCAATTGAGGGTCCCTCTTCCAAAATAACTCTAACTGGTGTCAAGCTGACATAAAATGGGCCAGTACAACATCAGCGGCAAAAATTAACCTGCTTAATACACTCAAGGACAAATTAGTATTTATTTGGAAACATGCATATATTTCCCTTTCCTATGAAGAACAATCAAATTAGACACTGAAACAGAAAAGACAATATCTGAGTGTTTGATAAGTCATAGTTAAGTATCTTTTAATGTGTAACAGTTCCTTTAGGTATGCAGAAGATAAACAGATTAGTAAGTATAACGCCACACAAACAAAATCAAGAATTAAAAATCGAATAACTGACAGTAGATGCAAGAGAGCCTTTGATAATATTCCACTCCATGTCACGATCAAAGTTCAGCATCTAGTATGAACAGGAGGAACATACATTAAGATAATAAAGGCTTTCGTGACAAACACATAACTAGTAATACCATGCTAAATGAGGGGAAAAACTGAAAGCATTTTCTTGAAGATCAGAAAAAATTACTAAAGCAAAAGCAACAACAGGTATATGAATCAAAAAGAAGGAAGTCAAAACATCCCTGTTTCAATACGTAGAAAACCATAACCAGGTACATAGTGTTCACCAGGAGCACAGTACATGGGAGGCTAGGATAGCAGGGTTTAGAGTTCTAGGCCAGCTGGGCACATAGTTATACTCTCTGTGTAAAAAGCAACCCACCCAAGAAAATCAAAGATTACACCAAAAAGGCTTTTAGAGATTATAAACTATTTAGGAAGGCAGGAGGGTACAAAATTAATAGGCAATGCCCAGTACATTTTTTTCCCCAGTGAATAATGAATAATGAACGATCCCACAGAGATGTGTGAGTGTGTATACACACACACACACACACACACACACACACACACACACACACACTCATACTCTTCAAGACAAACCTCACTTACTGATTATGTGAGAATCTTCAGCAAAGGCAATTTTAGGTCACTTGAGGAAGAAATTATAAGGAAAGAGAAAGGTAGGGAGGTAGGGAGGTGGGAAGATTTGGAGAGGAATTGGGAGAGAGGAAAAGTGTGATCAGAATATATTTCATAAAAATTATTTCAATAAGCTGGGAGGTGATGGCGCATGCCCAATCCTAGCACTCGGGAGTCAGAGGCAGGTGGATTTCTGAGTTCAAGACCAGCCTGGACTACAAGAGCTAGTTCCAGGGCAGCTTCCAAAACTACAGAGAAACCTTGTCTTGAAAAACAAAGAAACAAACAAACAAAAACCAAAAAAAAAAAAAAAAAATTTTTTTTTCAATAAAAAAGGCAAAAAAGAAAAAAAAAAGTTAAGAAATAAATTAAACAAGACATTAAGGAAGAAAGACCCACCATGATCATGGATTAGGAGAATCAGTATCGCTAAAAACAACTCAAAGTAATAACATTATTACAACATTTTACATACAACTAGAAACAATGCTTAAAGTTGGGATGAAACCACAAGAGACCTGATTTCAAGACACACTGCAGGTGTTAGAGCGACCAAACAAAATAGGACAGAACAGGAAAAACCCGACAGGACACTGTCGTAAATACAGATGTAAAGTGCAATGGAAGAGAAAAGAGAACATACTCAACAAAGGTGCCAAAAAAATATACAGCAGAGGAGGGATGTCATGACTGATAAACGATGGTGGTAATACTGGATTTCTATATGGAGATGTCTGAAACTAGCTAGACTCCTAGAGAAATTAGGCCCTAGAGAAAAATCAATTCATAAGTGATTGCCTGACCAGAAAAGACAAAACTCTATTTTGCCAGCACCTTAATTTAACTTAATTTAACTGTTTCTCACCCAAGAAAAGCCCTTCTCTTCTATTTCCTGATATGCTTTCACACCTTAAAGCTGGGCTTTCCCCCTAATTATTTTCAATTAGCATTAAAAAATAGAACCAATCCCTACAAACAGCTCAACTGCATCGCAGACGGCCACATCTACATTCCGCGTTTCTCACACGGATCGGTGGGTCTCCCGGTCCAGTAAATTTGGCAATGACAGGGAGGACCTGGAAGTTGGGGGATTCCCACTGTAAATTCCCCCCGCCCCCAAAAACATTTGGATGGGGGACAAAGTCGTGGATTTTTCCCATGGACCGAAAGACCGAAACCCGGACTCTCCCGGGCCAAACAAAGCGATCGCGCATCGGCCCCGCGGCCGCAGAGCTCGGACTCGCGACCCTCGGCCACCGCGCATCCGGGGAGTCCGGGGCGCAGCTGCAGAGGCTTCGCCGCGGTGCCCAGGCCCTGAGGGACCTACGGCGCCTCCCACGCCCGGCCCGCCCGCTCCACCCCCGGCGCTTACCATGGCTGCGCTCGGGGCTTCACGCGGCTCCTGGGATCAACGGTCGTGGAGTCCGGTCACCGGGACTCCGCAGATGACTGGAGAGCACTGCCAGGATGGTGTGCCAGGAAGAAAGATGGCGGAGGAAGAACTTCCGCTCCGTTCTCTGGCGCTCCCGGTCTAGCAAGAAGCACCGGATCGCCACTTTTAAGGTCCTAATCCCTGGACTGCTGAGACCTGACTCTGTTACTAAGTTTGGAGGTCATGAAATTAAAAGCGAGGCTGAACAGCTTGGGACTCCATAAACCGACAGGACAGGACCGCAACTATGGCGGCCAGAAAGAAAGATGGCGGGGGACGCTCTTCCGCCCGGCCTGCCCAGGATCCTGATAGGACAACTCATACTGGCCGCCTCAGAGGCCCTGGTTATTATTCCGGGGCTCAGTGGCACACCGTGCGGATGGACAATCACGGACTCCTGCTCTGTCCCGACAGTTTCACGACTGAAGCCGCACCAGAAAGAAAGATGGCGGACGAGGAAAGTCCTGCTGGTGTTCTTGACCCGGAGCCCTTTGCTCTTGCATTGAGCCCTTTGTGACAGAATAAGGGATGACTACCGGGCTCGGGACCAAAACAGGCGTCATAGCCACAGTCGCTCTCAGCCCAGTCTTCTCTGAGTGAGAACCAGCTAAGCTTGGGTATAACTGCAAATAAGTAGAATTTGCCTCTGGCATTGCTGAACAGCACCTGCTGCAATTGTACACTATGCGCCCCGCCCACTTTGGAACGAAGCCACCAGTGTTCCATGGAGACAATCCATATGCTCAGAGAAGAGGGTGGCTAGTTCTGGACACATTGACACAGGGACAGCCTGATGCCATTCTTGAGCAATTTAAAGTAAGGCAGTTTGGTTCAGAGTCAAGACTTTCTTAAAACTTTTTTTTTTTTTTTCATTCTACCCATTTCCATTCAAGAAAAGATGAAGATAAACGTGTCAACAAGAAAGGAAAGCTTGGAATTCTTATATAATAATAGCCTGTTTCAGCAACTTTTTTTTTTTCTTTTAATACAGTGCTCTGCTTGAGTGTATGCCTGCGGGCCAGTAGAGGGCATCAGATCTCATTACAAGTAGTTACTGGGAATTGAACTCAGGTCCTCTGGAAGAGCAGCCAGGGCTCTTAACCACTGAGACATCCAGTTCCCTCATCCACATGTACAAAGATTGAGAAGGCAACAATATTTTAAGCCAGAGAGCTAACACCATTCCATAACAAGGCATCCTCTCTGAAAATGTTTCATTACAAAGATAACAATGGATTGTTTATGCCTCAAAGCTCCCAAAGCAGATCCCTCCCCACTTTCACTGGAGTCTGGCTCCATACAAATCTTACTACATTAACATTCAAGTGACTCAACTAGGCCCCATCTTCTGTTTTCCCCTCTTAGCCTCCTCCTGAACATGATTTACATTATTCATGTCCAACAGAACCTCAAAAGTTCATAAACTCAGAACCTTGTAAACCTCAGAACCTAATATAGATGATGCTTCACTGTGGTGTTCAGCAAAGCTTCCTGTCCCAAAGTTCTTGATGAGCTGGGTTTTTGTTGTTGTGTGTGTGAGTTTTTTTTTTTTTTTTTTTTTTTTTTTTTTAACATGGGTCTATCTGCAGTCTTCTACACACCCTCATCCAATTGTGCCAGCACCATTTGTTGAAGATGCTGTCCTAGCCCCATTGTACAATTTTAGCTGTTTTGTTGAAAATCAGGTATTCATAGGTGTGTGGGTAAATATCAGAATTTTCAATTCGATTCCATTGGTCTACCTGTCTATTTTTATGCCAATACCAGGCTGTTTTCAGAACTATAGCTCTGTAGTAGAGCTTAAAGTCAGGAATGGTGATGCCTCCTGAAGTTCTTTTATTGTATGAGGTTGTTTGGGCTATCCTGGGTCTTTTGTTTTTCCATATAAAGTTGATTATTATCCTTTCAAGGTCGGTGAAGAATTGTGGTGGGATTTTAATGGGGATTGCATTGAATCTGTAGATTGCTTTTGGCAAGATTGTCATTTTTACTATGTTTATCCTACCTATCCAATAACATGGGAGGTCTTTCCATTTTCTGGTATCTTCTTTAATTCCTTTCTTTAGAGTCACAAAGTTCTTATTATATAGGTCTTTTACTTGTTTGGTAAGCGTTACACCAAGATACTTTATGTTGCTTGTGGCTATTGTAAAGGGTGATGTTTCTCTGATTTCTTTCTCTGTCTCTTTGTCGTCTGAAAAAAGTAGGGCTACTGATGTTTTTGAGTTTATCTTGTATCCTGCTAGTTTGCTGAAGGTGTTTATCAGCTATAGGAGTTCCCTGGTAGAGTTTATTGGGTCGCTTATGTGAACCATCATATCATCTGCAAATAGAGACAGTTTGACTTCTTCCTTTCCAATTTGGATCCCCTTGATCTCCTTTTGTTGTCTTATAGCATTAGCTAGAACTTCTAGTACGATATTGAAGAGATATGGAGAGAGAGGGCAGCCTTGTCTTGTTCCTGATTTTAGAGGAATTGGCTTAAGTTTCTCTCCATTCAGTTTGATGTTGGCAGTTGGTTTGCTGTATATTGCACTTATTATATTTAGGTATGTTCCTGTTATTCCTGACCTCTCCAAGACCTTTATCATGAAAGGGTGTTGAATTTTGTCGAAGGGTTTTTCAGCATCTAGGGAGATAATCATATGGTTTTTCTTTTTCAGTTTGTTTATATGGTAGATCATGTTGATAGATTTTCATATGTTAAACCATCCCTGCATTCCAGGGATGAAGCCTACTTGGTCATGGTGGATGATTTCTCTGATGTATTCTTGAATTCGGTTTGCCAGTTTTTATTGAGTATTTTTGCATCGATGTTCATCTTAGTTGGGTCTTTGTGAGGCTTGAGTACCAAGGTTATTGTGGCCTCATAAAAAGAGTTTGGTAATGAATTTTCTGTTTCTATTTTGTGGAACAGTTTGAGGAGTAGTGGTGTTAGTTCTTCCTTGAATGTCTGGTAGAATTCTGCACTGAATCTGTCTGGCCCTGGACTTCTTTGGTTGGAAGGCTTTCAATGACTGTTTCTATTTTCATTGTGGGTTATAGGTCTATTTAAGTTGTTTGTCTGTTCTTGATTTACTTTTGGTAAGTGATAGTTATCCAGAAATTTGTCCATTTCCTTTGAATTTTCAATTTTTGTGGAATACAGGTCTTCATATGGGCACTTGGTGCAATGAACTTCCCTCATAGCACTGCTTTCAAGGTGTCCCATAAGTTCGGGTATGTTGTATCCTCATTCTCATTGAATATTACAAAGTCCTTAATTTCTTTCTTTATTTCTTCTTTGACCCAGGTGTGGTGAGGATGAAAATCAAGATTGGCGAGACCTTGACAAGCATTACTTGTTCGCATTCCTTCTTTCTCTCCCATAATTTTCAGGTTCTAGCCCACCTCGACCCACGAATAACTAGGTCCCACTGGTCAGGGCAAGTGGCTCCTGACGTGGTGCTCAAGGGAGGGCTTTTACTGAACAGACTCCCCCAACCCTGAATAAAGTCGGTAGTGCACACCAAGAACAGTGCCGGACCTGCAGACCTGCGAGCTGTAGCAAGGCGAAGAATTGAAATCCTTCCTCACCACTTATGAGCACGCCGATTCCTGATCCAAGGCACAATCCTTAAAAGTTGGACAATAGAGGTTAATGGAACCACAAACTAACTCACCTTATGGCTACACTCTGTGTGGATTTTGGAGGCTTCTCAGAGTAACTATGAACAAAGGAGAACTGCCTATTCACGTGGGACCACCTGTAATTTCCACCTGCTTGGTCTCTGACCCCCACCTCCAGTCCTCTGCTGGAGTCCCGGGCCCCTCCCAGAGATCTGCCTATCTCTGCAGGTCCACTCTGAGTTCCCTCCGGCAAGATCCTTGACCCCTAAAGCAGGGCCTCTGCTAAAGAAAGAGGGCCTCAGAGGGAGAGTGCCAGTTTCCAGTGAGATCAGAATATCCTGCAGAAACTTCCTAAGTTTCAGCTCAGCCTTTGTCCTCTTCTGCCAGCCACTGGCTAGAGCCATTGGCTAGTGGAATCTTCTACTGGATGCTCAGCCCTGACCCCATCCCTGGGTCCCGGTCTGCGGAGAGACCTCCTAGAGAGCTTCGAACACCCAGAGCTACAGATATTGAATCTCTGACCCACATAAGCCCTCCAGGGAAGTACCATAGAGAAAAGGGGAGACCCCACCAACACCTCCTGGAAGAAGCTATGGGAAGAAGGCAATACAAGAAAACACCTAACAACAGAAAGACAAGCATGACACCACCAGAATCTAGGGAATCTACACCAACTAGAACAGAGAACACAATAACAAAGCAGAGGAAGCAGAAGGGCACGACTTAAAAATTACCATCATAAAAATGATACAGGCCCTCAAAGAAGATGTGAGAAAATCCCTTAAAGAAATGGAGGAAAACACAACCAAAAAAGTGGAAGAAATGAACAAATTCCTTAAGGAAAGTAAAGAAAGTACAGAAAGCCAAGAAAAAACAATTAAGCAGGTGAAGGAAACGGTTCAAGACTTGAAAACTGAAATAGAGAAAATAAAGATAACACAAACCGAAGGAATGCTGGAAATAGAAAACCTGGGCAAATGATCTGGAACTACAGACACAAGCATAACCAACAGAATTCAAGAGATGGAAGAGAGAATCTCAGGCATGGAAGATAAACTAGAGGAAATAGATTCATCGACCAAAGAAAATCATAAATCCAACAAATCCTTAACACAAAACATCCAGGAAATGTGGGACACCGTGAAAAGGCCAAACCTAAGAATAATAGGCATAGAGGAAGGTGAAGAAGCCCAGCTCAAAGGTGCCGAAAACATATTCAACAAAATCATCGAGGAAAACTTTCCAAATCTGAAGAAGGACATGCCCATGAAAGTACAAGAAGCATACCGAACCCCAAATAGGCTGGACCAAAGAAAAAAGACCCCTCGACATATAATAATCAAAACACCTAGCATACAGAATAAAGAAAGAATATTAAGAGCAGTGAAGGAAAAAAAGACAGGTAACATATAAAGGCAGACCTATCAAAATTA